TTGCTAATTTCTGGTTTACCTCATCATTCTCTGACTAGTTTTCATCTCTGCCATTTCATCTTACCTAATGCCTTATGTAAAATTCCTTCTGTATGAAGGACTAAAGTGGTTTCTGTTTTCCAGCCTGGGCCTTAACTGACATATCTCACCTATAATATATATTACATTACTTTCTGTAACTAAAACATAAGTTAAATAGCTTATATGATTTATTATTTAATGTTCAAACATAATCTAAATATAAACTGGCAGATTAGATATTATTAATTTTAATTTAATAAATTAAAATGTTATTCTAATGATGTTTTCAATTTGTTATTAATACTTACCAGGATTTCGTGCTCCTGCAGGTGGAAAATTGCCACTGTCAATGCTCCCACCAGGAAAAGATTCATCTTCAGTATTGCAGTTTGGAGGTAAATATCTGGGTTTACAGTGACAGTTATCTTTATTATTACACACCTGAAAAAAAGAGAAATATAAGTAGCTCAAATTATTTGTGTTCAAGTATAATTTTAAAATAATACTTAAGTCAGATAAGGTTGATTTTCTTATGAGGTTTATAAATGTGTGTGTGAGTGTGTGTGTCCGTAGCTGTGTTTTCTTTCCTAGAATCACTTTTAATGATTTGCATTCTTTTCTCATAGTACTGGTACTTACACCCTGATTGTTGCATTTTGATGAAGGACAGTTATAAACAATCTCAGTATTCTCTATACATTCCTTATTCTTGCACACCTAAAAGGAAATAAGCCAAATTAAGTTAACTGAAATCATTTGTATTTGGTATCTAATTAAAAGTTATTCATTTAATAATAAATATTATGCTATTATGTTTTCAGCACTAGATGAGACTCTGATTACCTGAGAGTAAAAAAAACAATAAAAACATCTTTCATGCTTATTGTGAGATAGAAGGTATAACCATGAAATAGACAAAAAAGGCAAAGATAAATATGTGATAATTAGTATAATGAAAAAAGCTTTATGAAAAAATAAAATACAAGGAATTTATCTAACATGTGAGAACAGTGAAACCTTCTTATCTAACATGTGAGAACAGTGAAACCTAATGTTGAACATAACTTAAACATAAAAATGAAATACAAGATACTTATAAGAAAAGAAATATTTAAAATGACCCTCCATAGACTATTCGGAGTGTTGGTCAAGATGGTGGAGCAGGTAAACACTGTGCTTGCCTCCTCCCATGACCACCCTAAAATTACAACTAAAATATAGACCAATCACCCTGGAGAACCATCCAAAGATTAGATGAACAGAGGTCCTATAACTAAAGATATAAAGAAGAAGCCATTTTGACCTGAGAGTAGAGGCAGAGATGCAAAACAGGTTGGCTTCCTACCTTCTTGTGATAGTCAAGAATCAGGAGGAAGGTCTCAACTGAGGGGTCTTTGCCCCTCACCAGTGCCAGGAAGAGCAGCTCCCAAAACATCTGGCTGTGAAAATCAGTCAGATTCCATCCATCTGGGTGAGACAGAAGGATGCTGGAAACCCAGACATGGCCCACACACAGACTCTCTCACTTCCAGGCACTCACCCTAAGCTCTAGTGGAGGGATTGTGACTTGGAGGATGCCAGAAACATACAGGAAGAGACTGAATAGTGTGGCTAAAGGGTGAGGGCTGGACTGAGAGCCTCCATTTTGCCTGTGTTGAGCCCTACTCCCCTGTAGTTGGCAAGCACAATGCCCTCTTTCTTGTCCCTGTGTTGAGCCCTACTCCCCTGTAGTTGGCAAGCACAATGCCCTCTTTCCTGTCTCTGTGTTGAGCCCTCCCCCAAATGGCCAAATATGAACTTGCATTGGCCTGGTGAGCCACACATACTACACCCTGGTGACTCCCTGTGTATCCGCCCAATCCAACTTATACACCACCAGAGGTTTTATCATGGCTGGCAGGTAGCTGTTGTTGCCCTGAGCTTTACTTTTTCTTGGACAACTCTTGGAAGTTTTTGAGCCTTAGAGACAGCTGACAGGCATTGGCAGACCTAGGGTTCCCTAGGCCTTTTGCTGAACTGCCCCAAGCCCAGTACTGGTGACAACCAACCTCAATTTGGTGTGTATCCTCTCCCAAGTACCTCCAAGTCCAGCACAGGCAGTTACCAACCATGGGTCTCTTTGTAGCTCCTACCAGATCACCCCAGGCCAATCACAGGCAGCAGGTGAACTTAGCCTGCATAAGAAGCCCTTCCAAGAGGCCCCAGAACCAGCACATCTGGTGGCCAGCTTTAAACTATAATAGAAAACCACCAGATTAGCCCCACAAGCTGCACTTCCAAAGGGTGGTCTCAGAAGGCACCTGAACATGCTAAAGTGAAGCCTACTTCATGGGGTTAATCCTTGCATAGCAGCTCGTATGCTATGGTCGTGAGCACTCCTCAAAGCTAGTAAACCTGAAGGTCAATCCCACCTGCTGATGTACCTACAGCAATCAAAGCTCAAATACAACAGGAGGTCACACACAACCCACACAAACGACACTCCTGGGGGATCCAGCTCAGGTGACCAGGGTGGCTACACTACTGTGCCCCAAAGGACAGCTTTTATATAAAGCCACCTGGCCAAGACTAGGAGATATAGCATATCTACCTAATACATAGAAACAAATACAGAGAGGCAACCAAAACGAGGAAACAAACAAACAAAAATGTCTTAAATGAAAAAATAAGAGAAAACTCCAAGAAAACAAAACAAAACTAAATGGAGGCAAGCAATGCTTTAGATACAGAGTTCAAAACAATGGTTATAAGGATGTTCAAGGAATTTAGTGAGAATTTCAACAAAGAGATAGCAAGCATAAAAAAGAACTAGAAACCAATTTTAAAAAGTCAGAAATGAAGAATATACTAGAAGGAATCCAGAGCAGATTAAATGAAGCAAAGGATCAAATCAGTGATTTAGGTAATGAGATAGCAGAAAACAACCAATTGAAACAGCAAAAAGGAAAAAAGAATTAAAAAAATGAGGATAGTTTAAGGGCATCTAGGACATCGGCATAACAATATTCACCTCATAGGGGTACTAGAAAGAAAAAAGAGAGAACAAATGATTAAGAACCTATTTGAAGAAATAATGACCAAAAACTTTCATGACCTGGTGAAGAAAATAGACATACAAGTTCAGGAATCGCAGAGATTCCCAAACAGATAAAGACAAAGAGACCCAAATCAAGACACGTATTTAAAATGTCAAAGATTAGAGATAAAAAGAATCTAAAAAGCAACAAGACAAAGTCAGTTAGTTATTTAAAGGGAACCCCCATAAGACTGTTAACTGATTTCTCAATAAAACCTTTGCAGGCCAGAAGGATGGCATGAAATATTTAAAGCGATGAAAAGTAAGGAACCACAATCAGGACTACTCTACCCAACAAAGTTGGCATTTAAAATTGAGAGAGAGATAAAGAGCTTCCCAGACAAGAAAAAGCTAAAGAATTCATCATCAAACAAGTATTACAAGAAATGTTAAAGAAACTTCTTTAAGAAGGAGGAAATATATATGAATAATAAAAAGGCAATAACCACATACCTATCGATAATTACTTTAATGTCAATGAATTAAATAATTCAATCAAAAGACATAGGATAGCTGAATGGATAAGAAAACAAGATTTAAACATATGTTGTCTACAACAGACCCACTTCAGATTGAAAGACACACACAGACTGAAAGTAAAGGGATGAAAAAGATATTTCATACAAATGGAAACAAAACAAAAATAAGCTAGGATATTAATACTTAGACAAAATAGACTTTAAAACAAAGGCTACAGTAAGAGACAGAAAGGTACATTACAACATGATAAAGGGATCAGTCCAACAACAGGATATAACTCTTGTAAACATTTATGCACCTAATATAGGAACATCTAAATACAAAAAGCAAATATTAACTGACATAAAGGAAGAGATTGACAGCAACATAGTCATAGTAGGGAACTTTAACACCCCATTGACATCAAGAGATAGATCTTCTAGAAAAATCAACAAGAGAAGAGCAACCTTAAATGACACATTAGATCACATAAATGTAATTAATATTTTTAGAGCATTTCACTCAAAGCAACAGAATATATGTTATTTTCAAGGACACATGGAACATTTTCCGAGATAGACCACATATTAGGCCACAAAGCAATTCTCAATAAATTTAAGAAGACTGAAATCATAACAAGTATCTTCTCCAAACACAAAGTTATAAAACTAGAGATCAATTACAAGAAAAAAAAACTGAAAAACACACTAACAGATAAAGGCTATATAACATGCTACTAAACAATAAAGAGCTATCAATGAAATCAAGAAAAAAATTAAAAGAGAAAAATACAAACAAAAACACAACAATCCAAACTCTATGGGACACAGTGAAAGCAGTTCTAAGAGGGAAATTCATAACAATACAGGGCTACTTCAAGAAAGAAAACAAAAATATTTCTCAAATAAGCAATCTAAGTTACACCTAAAAGAACTAGAAAAAGAACAGCAAAGAGAGCCCAAAGTAAGTAGAAGTAGGGAAATAATAAAGATCAAAATGGAAATAATCACAATGGAGTCTAAAAATTACAAAAGATCAGTAAAACCAAGAGCTGATTCCTTGAAAAGATAAACAAAATTGAGAAACCTTTAACCAGACTCATCATATATAAAATAGAGGACTCAAATACATAAAATCAGAAATGAAAGAGGAGAAGTGACAACTGAAAGAATGGAAATACAAAAAATTAGAAGAAAATATTACAATTGCATGCCAACAGATTTGACAATATGGAAGAAATTGATAAATTTCTATAAACATACAATGTTCCAAGAATGAATCAAGAAGAAAGAGAAAAATCTGAACAGACCAGTTACTACTAACAAAACTGAATCATTATTCAAAAAACTCTCCACAAACAAAAGTTCTGGACAAGATGGCTTCACAGCTTCATTCTACCATACATTCAAAGAAGAATTAACACCTATTTTTCTCAAAATCTTCCAAAAAATACAAGAGGATAGAAGGCACCCAACCTCATTTTAAGAGGCCATCATTATCTTGCTTCCAAAGGCAATACAAAAAATAAAATTATAGACTAAAATCCCCGAGGAACATAGATGCAAAAATCCCCACCAAAATATTAGCAAACCAAATTTAGCAAAACATTAAAAAGATCATACACTATAATCAAGTGAGATCATTACTGGGATACAAGTTTGGTTAAATATCAACAAATCAATGAACATTGTACATCACCGCATAAACAAAATGAAAAATCAAAATTATATGATCGTATCAATAGTGTAGTAAAAGCATTTGACAAAATCCAGCATTCATTTGTGATAAAAACAAATTTTCAGCAAAGTGGGAATAGACAAAACATACTTCAACATAGTAAAGGCCATATATGACAAACTCACAGCTAACATACTCAAGAGGGAAAAGTTAAAAGCATTCCCCTTATGATCAGGAACAAGACAAGGATATCCACTTTCACCACTTCTATTCAACAAAGTATTGGAAGTCCTAACCACAGCAATTAGACAATAAAAAAAATTAAAATAAAAAAAATTTTAAAAAAGGCATCTGAATTGGAAAGTAGTAAAATTCATTCTTTGCAGATGACGTGATACTATATATAGAGAACTCTAAAAATTTCACCTAACAAGAGTTAGAACTCATAAGTGAATTCAGTAAAGTAGCAGAACACAAAATTAATATTCGCAAGTGAGTTGCATTT